ATTATTAATTCAAAGTCAAAAATTTGTTTCCCTAGTTCTGCTTCCATTTTTCAAAATGGGTGCAGGCACCAAGAGGGCCTGCAAGCAGACAACGGACACTGTAAGCGTGGTGTTCGCGACGACGTTTACGCTGTCACTGTTCTTGGTGTGCCGATGTGTTTTGACATATTTCTAAATGCTACTTCAGTTTCGCAGTAAAAACGCCCTCTCAAGCAAGTACTGTAAAGTACCGAGGCTTATGGCAGCACTATCAAAAGAGTGTTTGAACGCGCGTCGATGCGTGGCCGAAGTGGCCCCCATTCTGACGTTGTTGCTGAAACGGGCTCACACACTTTTCCTACGCGTCCAGGCATTCTCAAAGTCCTGAAGACTTCTGTATAGATAACTGCTTCATGCGTTGGACTGCCATTAGCGGTTCAGTGTGCTCTTGAATTTGAACAATCTTTGCAAAAGTTGGTCATTACATGTAAGTGAACTCAAACTGTTATGTTTCTAGATATTGGCAAGTAGTTGCACAATTCGTGTCCAAGTGTTGCTTCAATCTCAACCATGTCTTTGATGCCATTCGCCGCTCATCACACTTTTAAATCGATTGTCTTGTACATGTCGTTGCTCATGTTATAGCAGTGATTGTAAGAGGGAGGACGCCACAATCTATGGCTAAGGATATTATCACAAGGAACACCCTCCCGGGTAGCAGCAGCACAAGACTGGACACTTTACAGCACCCGGCTGTGCCCCTTTTCCCTGCAAACACCCTCAGCCTTTCTGAAGTTGGCACGCCCCACACAGGATCTGCTCGAAGCCGTGCTCAGCGGCAATCTGTCCGCCGTGCTCGACCTGCTCGCTCGCGGAGCCAACCAAAATGTCACGCAGGGCCCGCAGGGCGTAACTGCCCTCATGGCGGCGGCTTTCCGCGGCCGCACCGAAATCGCCCAGGCGCTGATAGACGCGGGGGCAGATCTCAACAAGGGGGCGGTAATTGGTGGCGGCACGGCGTTGTACTTTGCGGCCCTCAAGAACCGCCCCGATATCGTGGCGGCTCTCATCGGTGAGCACTGCTTGAAAGGGAAGGATTGTCTGATACGTATAATTTCCGGCATGAAGGGGTCATTAAACCATGAAGGACGTGAAGGACACGAACGGTAGTACAGACCTGAGCCCCTAAAACCCCAACACTCTAAAACCTGAAAATGATCTTCATAAACGTCATGACCTTCATGACTTTCGCGACCTCACGCCCGGCAATGTCGGGTGTTGTACATTTGGGTGGAAAGGCGTGGGTGTCCTCAGCAGCGGCCGTTCTCCAAACGGAAGCCTCTGTTGCGACCAGACCCTGTGGTGGCATCCTGCCGCGTGCCACGTGCCTTGTGGGTGGTTTCCTTTGCGTCGCTGCACCCCTGTAATTGAACCGCAACACCCTTTGGGACTCCCAAAGGAGTATCTCCAAATTGGGAGAGGGAGGTTGCGAGGCCGATTCCCAAAGAATTGCTTTCACATGCAGTTGGCGATTGCATGCATGCCGAAGACGACTGTGGAGCGGCGAAGTTTGAAAAATCACAACAATAATTGAGTTGAATGGTGCTGCAATACTAACAAAACAGTTGCTTGGAGTTCATGTCCAACATCGGCAATAAGGTGCCAGAGCACTGTTCGGTCATGTTTACGTGACAAATGCAGTCAACGGAGCTGATGAAAAGGTATCGATAATCGAAAACTGAAGAATGTAATGTGTATCAATGTACATTTCGGAACCAAATTCGAGCATGACAGTTGAATGTAAGCTCTGTAAGCCGGCTATTTTTCCTGAAGGTCAACAGAAACTGCTCCCCGTGCCAAATTTCAGTAACGAAATTAAATTGAAGAGCAATAATTACTGAATGTAAAACTGCTTTAAGCCGACCATTTTGTCTCAATTTCAACTGAAATTGCACCCTGTGCCCAATTCCTGCAGAGGCGGGCGCAGACGTCGACAAAGGAGACGACATCTCGACCACCCCCCTGTTCGTGGCCTCCGCCAAAGGAAAGCTGGACCTCGTGCAGCAGCTCCTGGCTGCCGGGGCGGACACAGAAATCGCCGACCAGACCGGGGCGACCCCCCTGCACATCGCGTCCTTCCGCGGCAGGGTGGCCGTCGTCCGTGCCCTCCTTGGCGCCAAAGCCAACCCCAACCACGGAGACTACAAATTAACCACCCCCCTCCACGCCGCCGCCTACCGATCCGGCGCGGAAAATGAGCAAGTGGCCTCCCTGCTGATTGCCGCGGGCGCCGACGTCGACGCCTCGATGAGCAATGCCAAGAAATGGACGGCCCTGGCCATTTCCGCGGGACGCGGAGATCTGGGGATTGCCCGCATACTCGTGCAGAGCGGGGCGGATGTGGACAAGGCGCTGGGCGGGGGGAAGACGGCGGTGGACTGGGTGTGTGCGTGCAGCAGGCCGAAGGGGTCCAGGGGTTTGGGCAAGTGCGCGACGGGGTCGTGCACCCCGGACGCGGCCAAGGCGCTGAGGAAGCTGCTGACGAAGTCACGCGCGTCGTGAGCTTTGTTCCTGTTGAGGGGAAAAGCCGGGCGACGGTGCAAAGTGCGCATATACGCACGTACGTGGATTGTGCATTGATGCGCGCTGGTGCACGTTGATGCATACGGAGGGATGCACAGGCCTGCATTGCAATGCGTTGCAATTGCACTTTGAGGCACGTTCACGGGCGGCTTGTCAGCGGTGGCGTTGCCGCGCTGGAGCGCCACTGCGGTGTCTGAAATGCTAAAAGGAAAGGGAGTTGTTTGAAGCACGTTGGCTGGGATTGGTGCTGGGATTGGTCCCAGGGGCGGTGGTTTGCCTGTGCACAGTGTTTCGTGCATTGCCGCACTGCAATTGCGAGATGTGCATAGATGATGTGAGATTATGGCACGCTTGAGGAGCGCTACCTGGCTGAAAGAGCCACTCCCGCACCTGGGTGTATGGCTCTGCTGTTGGGGACCGCCCTCTCAAGTAGGGCTGACCAGGGTGAACGTCGGTGGACTGTGACTAGCTTTGTTGACAGAGCCCTTGCTGAGGATTTCCTCCGGGAGCGGGAGGCAGGTGCGGGCGTCGAGTTGCAGCTGGAACGACTGGAGTTGTGCATAAAATTCAATTTGATTTAGATGCGTTGCTTTCTGGTCCGCGGGAGAGAGTTCGCTGGAAGGAGCTACAAGATGCAGCCGTGCATGGCACGGACTCCAAGCAGAGCCGGAGACCTCTGATTTGATGGCCGTTCGTTCCCAGGGCAGCGGTCCCCACGGGGGGAACACCAAACATTTTATTTCAATTCTTCTCTGGTTCCTTTTGCCCATCTGCGCAGAACGCTCGCACGCAAACGGGGGATGGAAGAAAGCTGCGGGGAACCTGTCGCATTAGTCAGCAAGATGAGATTATGGCGTTTGGTCGTCTTTTCATGGGCGGGGAAAGCGGTCGCTTTTCAAACACCCTCTGGTGATAAATTCCCATGGGATGTTTTTTCAGGAAGAGAAGTATCTGGGAAACATGTAGAAGTATCTGGGAAGATCTGCCACGAGGCTGGGCCTCGCCGCGCTTGAGGGCGAGGCCCCCTGAGGCTGAGGGTGGAGCGACGCACGTGAGGCGTGGGTGGCTTGCTTGTCATATCGTGCACATGCAAATGAACGATGCTGTTGTTCTTGCCTCTCGCTCGTTAAAAATGGCACCAGTGTCGCATTTCCTGCCAAATGAATAAACTCATTATCGCAGTTACACGCAAGTATGATATACGTGGATGCCTTTTGTGCTGTTTTAAGTACCGCATCTTGTGCGTGCATTTCCTCAAAGGTGTGGATTTATCGACGTGGTTGATGTTTCCTGCAATCTGCTTCCAAATTCTTCAATCAACGAAGGGTTTGTTGTTGGCCTTTGTGCAGTACATTACCGACAGGGGGCCCAAGTTGCAGCCCCTGACGAGTTGGAGCCTCCAACTCGCCAGTACTCTGCACTTCATCGACACTGGGATTGCCTTTCCACACGGTACTTTACCAGCACCGACAGCAATTTCCCAGCGCGGCAACCCCAATCACCCACCTCAGTACTTTGCCGTCACTGGCCCCTTCGCAGTACTTTATGCCCACGAAGTTGCACCAACCCGCCGTAGTACTCCTAGAAAGCACCCCGTCACCTCTTTTGAGGGCGGGAAATTTGCAAACTTCCAAGCACCGCTCGGTCCAACGGCGCTTGGCGAAAGCGCGGGAGCCACGCGGGCCGCCGAGGCAGGTGAGTGGAGGCAGCGATGTCGATGCCGATACAGCGATACCGTTCGAGATGCTGGCCACCCCCCCAAATTCGCTTCCCTTTCGGTGCTTTTGCTGCTACCATCGGCCTTTCTTCGGTCGCGATCGACGGTAGCGCCTTGCTCCCGCGAGCAGCTCCACTCTCTCGAAGCCAGGGACACACAAAGCAGAATCTCGCCCCCCCCGCCCCCGGGGGGGGGCGCCAAGCGCGGTTCCCATAGGCACTGGCACCCAAGTACGCCGCTTGTCCTCGGCTCCATCCCAGTTCAAATAAGGGTCCCCTCGGCAGCGCTTTTCCAACAGCACGGCGACGCACCCAGGCCACAAAACTTGCAGCCGTGTTGCCTTGTACCTCTTCGTTGTATGTTGCCCTGTCGACGACCCTGCATGTCTGCTTGTGTAACTGGGCAATCTTGGCATCATTTCCTCCAGTACAGGGAAACTGTGTCGCAATATTCCTGCTCAAAGGTGGGAGGTGCTGGTGGATACGAAGGGTTGCCCTTCCTTTCAAGAGCAAGTGCCTGCATTGGCAGGGAGAACTGAAACATGTCATGGTCGGCCAGGCCACGATCCCCAGAACAGGCTTGCGACTTGGCCACGCAACGCTTAGGGACAGTGCAACATGCAGGCGCCGGGATTGGCCAGTCACCCCATATGGTGAGTCAGACCGAGTGCCAAACACTGGTGTACCGCCAATACAGGCCAATCCCTGGATCAGGCCCCTTGATGGGCCTGGAGAGGCTGGGCCCCTTGAACGCCTGCTCAGAAAAGCGTGGTTGGTGCCCGTGCATCTGCTGAACCGAAGTGGTTGACAAGTTCGCTTGTGCCTGAAGGGTCTGTCTGTGAATGGCTTTGCCCTGGGTGTCTTCCTGTCTGCTGCAACCCCTGTCCGAACAACAGTGAACCAAAGTGTGTTGCAGTAGGGCAGAACAAGGGACTAGGAAAATTGCTCCAGCTTTGCTTTTTGTCGTTGGAACCCATCAGTTGTGCCTGCCAGGCCGTTATCATCCAGAAATGCCCATTTGATTCGAGGAGCGTTTGGAAGACACACCTGTTGATACTGCTAAAGCAGCTTGATGGAGCTGCAAATTATGTTCGATGTAGCGATTTGCCTGTGCACACTGTTTGTTGGCCTGCAAGTTAGGGACAGTGCCAGAATGTGCACCTGGTGTGAAAGCAGGTATGGTATGCAGCGTTGCAACACTGATGAGGCACCTTCAAAGAACTGCAGTGTGCTGTTCAGTGCAGTTTGTTCACCCAAGCAACTGCTTTGTCAATTTGCAGGCTTGGGACTGTGCCAGAATGCTCTCATGGTTCAGAAAACAGCTCAGTAGGGAGGGGCAGCACAGAGGGGGTGCCGGCACAGGAGAAGATGACGGCCAGGTGTGCTTGGTCTTGCCAGCCTTTTTGCCCTAAGTCATGGTAGTGCTCACTGCACATCGTGTAGTTCCAGTATAGCAGTGATGTGTACAGTGGATGGTGCACAGGAATGCAGTACAGCACTTGGTGACATGGTGTACGGTGTGCCTGTTGTATAGCACTGCAGTAATTTGAGCAATGGGGACTGCAGCAGATCTGTCCAGTTCTTTGTTCACCTTCTCTGAGCACCTGTGGGCTGGTAATTTCACTGGCAGTGCAACTGGCAACAATACACCTAAATGGTGGTTGAACTTTCTGATAAATCTGTCCATGGCTGTATGTGCACAAAAGTAAAAGTGCAGCACCATGCAGATAAATGCAGCATATCAACACAACCACTGGGGCTCTTGGTTTGTTGGCAAAATTCTGTGCTTCGAATTCCCTGCTCAGTGCAAAGATTGGACATCTTGCTGTTATTTGTAGAGAGATTCAGCTGTGTTTGTTGCAATGGACACGCGACCCTGGCCTCTTGAGGCAATGTTGCCAGCACATGCAAGGCACTGCCCCGCTGATCAAGCAAAATCCGTACTGAAATTGGCATGTTGATTGTGAAAAGTTGTTGAGTCGACACAGTGGTAAGTTGATCAGTTCATGTCACTTATTTTCACCCGATGTTACTCCTGTCGATTGACCAAATTGATGTTTCCAAATGATACAAGAATTTCCAATTTACTAGTAAAGGATGGATATCTTAACCCTGTGTATTTGTGCCACCACCTCACCCAAATGCCCATTTGTGTTGCTCACACTCTTTGCCAGTTGCTTCTGTGAGTGCTTTGTTTCCCCCACCCCCAACCCCTTCAAGTATTTGGTGACGGAGCTCCTATTTTGCCCATTTTCCAGTAATTTACGCCAACATTCCCTTTTCCTGCCCATTTTATCAGCAGTTGATGCCTGTGCTCAGCACAGCACGCTGTGTTTTTGTCCTTGGACAGGACTTGAGCGAGTGGGGCCACGTGCTGCCCAAGGTACTGGATAGTGTGCTGCAGGCTCTGGCAGATCATGAGGCCGTCATCTTCCTACCATCTGCACGCCTAGTCAACCGCAATTGGCACCAATGGGCCACGCATGCAGTGAAGGTCCTGGATCTAAAAGTTACAGAGCCATATGCAAAAATGGACAGGTTTGCAAGACAGGCATGCACTTTGCGGAAAGGGGAAAGGATTGAAAACGTCATTAAATCCTGCCCTGCCTTAGAGAGTTTGATACTGGAGGGCGCGGAAGATACCCACCTGCCAATGTTGCAACGATTCTCGCAGCTGAGACAGCTCAAACTTCTCAATGGGACTTGCAGCGGTGTGACCAATGGCGGCATGACCCACGTTGCAGCGATGACGGGGCTGGTCGGCCTCGAACTCCAGCTGGCATCAAATCTCACGGCCCAAGGGGTCCGAGCACTTGTCACGTTGACATGCCTCCTGAGCCTGAATCTGAGCTGGTGCTATGCACTAACAGACGAGTGCGTGGCCACCCTGTGCCAGCTCCCCACCCTCACCGACCTCAAACTGAATGGCTGCGACAAGATCTCCGATCTGGGGATTGCGCACCTGTCAGAGATGCCGCGCCTTATGAGGCTCGCCCTGCTGCGTGAGCAGCACAGGGATGGGCCGTTTTCGAACAAGGGGGCCATGACCTTGGGGACCATGACTGTGCTTGTGGCTTTGAACATTAAGTCATGCAGCGGGGTTAATGATGCTGGGGTGGCACACTTTCAATCTCTGACGAACTTGATCGAGTTGCACCTGCCGCAGGATGTGTCGGACAGGGGTCTGGCAGTCCTCAGCAGCCTGACCGCCATCGGCCATCTCAGCCTGTGGCGCTGTGGGGCCATCACAAATGAGGGATTGATTCTTTTGCAACAGTTTTCCAAGCTGGCAAAGCTCGAGATAGTGTCTTGCAGGGGGATCTCAAATTGGGGCATGGGTATGGTCGGGAGGCTGACGTACCTGAAGGACCTAACTCTAGAAGGGTTGCCCATCAATGACGATGGCATCGATGAGCTGTCGGCCCTCACGGGCCTCAAGAAACTTAGCCTGGCCTCCACACGGGAGTTGAGGAGCAACGGCACAAGGCGACTGAGCGGCTTGTCTGCACTGGAGATCCTTGACTTGTCTGGGTGCAAGGGCATGTCGGATGTCGGCGTGTGGTGGCTGTCGTCGCTGGTGGGCCTCAAAGAACTGCACCTGAACGGGTGCCCACAGGTCACAAACCATTGTGTGAAGGGTCTCCTGGCCATGCCACTGCTGACAAAGCTGGATCTGGCCATGTGCACAAAACTTACCGATGAGGGCATGGTGATGATCGCGCGTCTTACAAGCCTGGCTGATCTAGACCTGGGCGGTTGTTTTAAGATTACGAATGCGGGAGTTGGGCACTTGGCGCGTCTGAGGTTTCTGTCACATGTGAATGTGGTGGGCTGCCCGCTCGTGTCCTTGGGCAGTGGCGCATTGTTGCGCAGATGGCAGTAGGGCCACAAGGCTAGCATTCGTGCGTCGTTCTTTGTTAGGTTGTTGCCTTGTCACTGTTAATTGTTGCTTTCATTTGTAGCATTTGTTCCATTTAATTATTTTTTTAGTTCAGCAAATGTTTCATGCACAAACTCCACACTAGCAACCATTGCTATTGATCACAAGGTCGGTTGCCAAGCCCTAAAAGCAATACTGAGGCAAAGAGAGAGCGACAGATGTCTGATGGAACCCGTATTCACTTGTCAAACTTGCATATCGATCTGCTCACGTTATTTTCATCATGTGATCGCCGTTTTTCAAGTCCTTTGGTCGGCCAATACGTGTTCTCAACGAGAGGAACCCATTAAAGTATGCCATTGAGAAAATTGCATTGCCATTAAATTCCACTTTTGAAATTGGTTGTTTGCGTGAGCTCGTGTTGAAACCAAGAGGAAAGCCGTCAATGCCACGCAGTGCAACTTGAAGCGCCAGCAAAGGATGGAGCAGGTGAACGTGAAATGCGGCAACTCACAGTTCTTCACGGTCCCCAACTGCAGTACTTTAGCCTCTGGCGTCGTACTTTACGGCACGGCCCTCGTCACCCTTCCTTTTGGCGGGAAAATTGAAATTTCAAAGCCGAGCCAGCATCCGGCGCGCTGGGAGAGAGCGCGGGAGCCGTGCGGCCCGCCGCGACAGGTGAGCGACAGCGGCGCGCCGACCGAGGTCCCTCCCGCCAGATGCCTCCCGGCAATGCGCCTTCCCGATGCCTTCCCCCTTTCTTCAATCGGCACTGGCGATGGCGCCTCGCTCGAAGGGCTCCCCGCGCTTTTTGCCATCCTGTGGGCTGGAAGCTCGGGATGCTTGTCGAATCTTTGAGTTGGGTCCAACTCTGTGGACCAAATGTCTCTGGGGACGCAGCTGCTGTCATTCGCAAGCAAGCCCACACCAGTTTCTAACTAATCTGTTACCTCTGCAGCTCTTTTACAATTCGGTAGATGATTGCCTGCGGGGGGTCGCAACACTGTGACGTGCCTGCGCCCCACGCGCCGTGTGCAGAAACATACGTGTGAATTGTTCATACCCGATTTGGGAATGAAAGCAAACGTGCAACCAAGGCCATCGCCATGGGCCCAGAGCAGCTGGCTGTGTGGCGAGAGAAGGAGCCTTGCACCATATCCTCCCTCAGTGACAGGCGCCAGAATTTATCTTGACACTTAGAAATTCTGCCTGTGGCTAACATCCCAGTGTAGTTGGCCGGAGCAGCTGATGGACATGTATTTCTCAACCCAGGAATGCCTGTCAGTACCTGTGCAAATCACGGGCCCCACGCTTGAACTTCATCCTTGCTCTGCTGCATGGGTGTCCAGGTAGGGTCGGGACATCAATCATGCAGCAACATCTGACCATACGGGTGGCGGGCGGATAAAATAAACGGATGCCTGACATGCAAACATTATTGGTTGTGTGTACACATTTGTCATCTCCTGCAAGGTGCAAGGGGACCATTTTCTTCCATATAAAGATGCTTAAAAGGATAGTTTGGGTGCCTCCCTGGTCGCCTCCTGTCAAAGTCAGCAGGCAGTTGCGGGTTCTGCCCACCAGTGACATTGTGGCTGGTGTGAGTCATGGCCTCCCCCCCACACCACCACCCCGCACCTCCCCTTCTCTTGTTCATCAGCATTTACAGCCACGGACACTGCTTGTCCATGGCTTAATCCCTGTCAAAACAAGGACCCTCTGGTGGGCGCGTTGCCACAGCACAGCATCACTCCCAGGCTGCAAAACTTGCAGTCATGTTGGCGTTTGTCCCTGTTTTTTCACATGTCGTCCTGCCGAATCCCTTGCATGCTGTCCTGCTTCACTGGGCAATTTTAACACCCTGTTCTATGGCATAGGGAAATAGTCTTGCTTAAACATGAGGAGCACCAGTGCATCAAAATCTGCCCTTTCTCTCAAGAAGAAGCAAGAGTATTGTCAGGGGTTATGCTGAAACGTGTCAGGTGAGCATCTTCTCAGAAATGCATGGTCATGGCCTGTGGCTCTGCCCAACCCAGCTGATTGGACAGGTTCACTTCTGCTTGAAGGGTCTGCCTGTGGGTGAATTTGTCAACAAATCATGTTGCGTCTTCCTGGCTGCCGCAACCCCTGTCCGAGCAACAATGAACCAAAATTTGTTGTGATAGCTTGGGCCATCAAATCTGGGGGAACTGATGGCAGCTTTTCGCAGCCTACCAGTTGCGCCTACCAGGTCATTCACGTCTGGAATTGCCCAGGTGATACAAGGAGTATATGGGGCATGCAGCATGTTGGCCCTTTCAAAGCAGGTTGACAAAGCCACGAAATTTTGTTGCTGTGGCGAGTTTGCCCATGTGTGTTTTTTATTGCCTTACGTGTCAGGGACAGTGCCAGAGTGCGCACATGGTCTGAAGGCGTTTATGGCATGCAGCATTTCAGCACTGCAAAGGCAGCTTTAGCAAACTGCAGAATGCCGTACAAAGCGGCTGGTCGACCAAGGCGGTTTGTTTGTCGATTTGTAGGTTTGGGACTGTAACAGAATAAATGAAATAATAAGTAAATGGCTTTGAAAACAGCTTCCTTGGGAGGGGCTACTCAGAGTACATGGCAGTGCTGGGGAAATTGACCACGAGGTGGGCTTAGTCGTTGCAGCCTGATATGCCATTAGTCTGCAGTACAGTACTGTGCAATGTACTTCGTGTAGTAGCAGTACAGTAGTGTTGTATGCAATGCATGTTGTGCAGCACAACAGTACAGCACTCAATGATGCAGTGTACAATGTGCACCTTGAATAGCATTGCAGCACTCTGAGCACTGCAGACTGTAGCAGATCTGCCCATTAACTTATTCAACCTTTCTGAGCAAATGTGGGCTACCAATTTCAGAGCCAGTGCATTTGGCAATTGCTTGAATGTGGTATGAACTTTCTTGCAAAACTGTTGCTGGCTGTATGTGATGAAACACAGAACCATGCAAATGAATGCAGCATATCAACACGGCAACTGGTGCTGCTGGTTTGTCAGCAAAATTTTGCGCTCTGGAATGTTGGCTGATTATGAAGAGTGGACATCTTATTGCTGTTTGTGGAGATGTCCAGGATGTGTTTGCTGGCATGCGGGCACCAACCTTGCCCCTTATAGGTGATGACAGCATTTTCGAGCCATTCTCAATCTCACTGATTGCATATTGAATCAGGATCATTATTGGCAGCGCATGCAAGACGCTACCTCACAGAGCCACCAGAATCAATATTGAAATTGGCATGCTGATTAGTTGACAAGTTGATTGGGTAAGTGACGCGTTGATCAGTTAATGTCACTGATTGTCATTTGATGTCCCTTCATGTCTTTGCCAAACTCATATTCCCAAATAATAATAAGTATTCCTGAGTTTACTGTTGAAGGGTGGAGATCTTACCTTGTGTATGTGTACTGCCACCGCACACCTGTGCCCATTGATGCTGCTTACTGCCCTCACCAGTAAGTTGTGTAAGTGCTGCACTTCCTCCTCTGCTCTAGTAGTTTACAGCAGCGCTTCATTGTTTGCCATTTCCCAGTTGTTTGTGTCCTTTTTTACTGACCATTTAACAGCAGCTGTTGACCCTCGCTGTGCTTTTACTGCCGCACAGGAATGGAACAAATGGGGCCGCGTGCTGCCCCAGGTATTAGATGGTGTGCTGCAGGCTCTTGCTGATCACGTTCTCCCATCCACACGTTGGGTCAACTGCCATTGGCACCAAAGGGCCATGCAGGCAGTGATGGCCTTGGAGCTGAGAATTCCGCATTGTTCTAGGAAAATGGTCAGGTTTCCAAGGATGTAGGAGGTTTTGCACAACGAGGTAAGGGTTCAAAACGCCACCAAACCCTTCCCAGCTTGGAACACTTGATGCTGGAGGGTGCAGATGCTGCCAACCTCCCATTGCTGCAGCAACAGCCCTGCCTGAGACATCTCAACATTGCCAATGGGGATTGCAGCGGTGTGACCAATGACGGCATGACCCATGTGGCAGCGATGACGGGCTGGTCAGCCTCGAACTCCACCTGTCTCATAATCTAATGGACAGGGGGGTCTGGGTGCTTGTGACATTGACATGCCTGGTGAGCCTGAAAACCTGAACTTGTGCCAGGAACTGACAAACGAGTGCGGGGCCAGTTTGTGCCAGCTCACCTCCCTCACCGACCTCAAACTGAACGGCTGCAGCAGGATCTTGTATGTGGGCATAGCATGCCTGGCAGCAACGCCATGCCTGATAAGGCTCACCCTGCCCCGTTACCACTATAGGGATGCACTGTTTCACACAATGGGGGCATGACCTTGCTGACCATGACTGCGCTCGTCGCTTTGAACATCGAGGCATGCAGCGGGGTCGCCGATGTGGGGGTGGCGCGCCTCCAATCTCTGAACAATTTAAGAGCTGCACCTGCAGGATGTGTCAGAAGGATCTGACAGCCCTGAGCAGCCTGGCTGCGATCAGCCATCTCAGTCTGTTGCACTGTGGGGGTGTCACAGACGATGGCTTGATACTCTTGCTGCAGTTTCCCATCCTGGCAAAGCTGGAGATAGTAACCTGCAGGGGTGTCCCAAATAGGGGCCTGGATCTGATCGGAAACTCACGGGCCTCAAGGAGCTGGCTCTGGAAGCCTTGTCCATCAACGACAATGGCATCGTTGGGTTGACAGCCCTCACAGGCCTGAGAAACCTGAGTCTGGCCACCACGATGGAGCTGAGGAACAGTGGCGCTATGCGACTGCCTGACTTGTCAGTACTTGAGAGAGCCTTGACTTGGTGCAAGGGCATGTCAGTTGTCTGTGTGTGGTGGCTAGCATCACTGGTGCACCTTAAGATAATGCACCTGAAGGAGCGGCCATCGATCACAGACGGCGGCATGAGGCGCCTGCTTGCAGTGCCCCTGTTAGCAAAGCTGGATCTGAACATGCGCACAAAGGTGACCGACGAGGGCGTGGCACTGATCGCATGTCTGACTTGCCTGGCTGATCTAGACCTGGGCGTTTGTCCAAAGATTGCAGGGGAGTGGCGGGAGTGAGGCGCTTGTCGCGTCTGAGGTTTCTGAGGCGCTTGAACGCAAACCTTGCCTGCTGGTGACCATGGGCAGTGGTGCGTTCTTGCGCAGATGATGTTAGGGCTGCAAATGTTGGGAATGAGGAACACTGTGGACATGAAAGCATTCTTGTGCCATTGTTTGTCAGGCTGTTGTTCCATCAGTGTTTACGGTTTCTTTCTCTCTTTTACGTTTTTGCTTTCCTATTATTTGTATAATGATTCGTTGAATTAAGCAGTTCTTTTGTAATGAAATTTCTGAAGCGGGCAAAGATGCAGCCATTACGTTTGAGCGCAACGTCAGCAGGCCAAGGCCTGGAAGCAGTAGTGAGGCAAAGAGAGAGTGGGAGAGGTCCGGGCTTTTGTACTCCAATTCAGTTTTCAAAACCTGCATTTTTATCTGCTTACATCATTTTTTGGTGTGATCGTTCCTTGAATTCCTTTAAATCTTTGGGGGGCCAAAAAATTTCTCAAAGAGCAGAATTCAGAAAAGTTTTCCAAAGAGAAGTTCACATTCTCATTGAATCCTACTTCTTGTTGCTGATTATCTTTATGTTCTGAATCGAACTGAGAGGAAGGCCGACAGTGCCACTCACTGCCACTTGAAGCACCAAAAAAGGATGGAGCAGATGAGCGTGAAACGCGACCGCCCCACAACACAATGTCACAATAATGTGGCATAAATGCACATGACTGCCAATTCACTGACCAGCCAATCGCCTCATTGGCCACCGCACAGTGGCCAACGGCATGATGTGCAGGAGAGATATATCGGCGATGTGTCCGTGAAACATATCGCAACGCATCGATGAATTTCACCGACATAATTTCAAAAATACAGTATGTTGTCACCGATACAGTGCAACGCACTACAGTTCACCAATACGACATAATATGATTCATCGATCCATCACCTTTACGTTCCACAACGTATCGGTGATGTATCGGTGCTGTATCGGTGCGATACGGACGTCATAAGGCACACTACTCCCCCGGCGACTGGCCAAGACCGCCAGCCCCTCCCCCTCCCCCCCCATATGTGCCAGAAACCAAACAACCGGCCCAGACCGTCCCCCAGCCGGCGTGGGCGTCCCGAATCCGGCCACGTGGACCCACGTGATCGGGCGCGGCCGGCCACCTTGCATTCCTCCCGGCGCTTTGGCGCTTGGCACTTGGCCCAAAAGGGCTGCCGCCGCGCAGCACTGTACCACTCCCCCCAGCCTCCCGCCCCCCTGCCTCCCCCCCAGCCGCCCACCCACCGGCCCTCCGTTTGGCTTTCTTTGAGCCCTCGCTTTGCCAGATCTGTCTTCCTGACGATCCTTCGATCCATCTTCTAGCGGATCGACTGTTCGATCAATCGCGCGGGCTGTCGGCCTTTTGGCGCGGTTACTGGAAGATGAAGATCCGTAGATCGAGGGCCGCGGAATTGGTGGCGGCGGTTTTGGTGGCGGGGATGTGCGTGGCGGCGGCGGCGACTTGGGAGGCCCCCGCGTTCTGCCGTGGTCTGGACTGCCCGACGTTTACCAACGCGTCGGCGGGGCAGGGCGTGGATCTCAGGACTTACGACGCAGGTGGGGCGATGGGGGTGGGTGGAAGATTTGTAAAGGGGGGTGGGGGAAAGGGAAAGGATTTGTCAAGGAGCGAGAGAACTTGTCAAAGAGAAAGAGGAGCAGGTCGTACCTGGCAGGGCGAGGGTTTAGATTTGGTAATGAGAAAGGAAACGGTGCATACCTGTCCGAGCGAGGCGTAAGACGTGTTGTAGAGAAAGAGACACAGGTCAACCCTGTGGTTGGGGGTTGGAGTGCGGGTGGGGTAAGAATTGTTAGAGAAAGAGAAATAGATCGTACTCGTGGATGAGGGGTAAGACACGGTTATGAGAAACGGGCCATGCCCATCGGTGAGAGGTTGAAATTTGTTGAAAGGCATGAGAAAAGGGTCATGGCGGGGTACACAAGAACCAGGGCACTCCCTCCCCCACAAATCTGTGTGACGGTCTGTCCCCCATGCTGCATGGGAGGAGGGGGGATGTTGGTTGGGGTGAAGGCTGCTGGTTGGCCAATGGTTGGCAGTCAGTGTAGTGCGGCCCATGGCGTTGAAGCGCAGCGGCTTATGCGAGCGTGTAGAGAAGAAACGAGTGGCGACAGCAAGTGTGACCACAGAGTCTTGAAAGTGGCGGAATCTGGATTCCAGTCTGGAATTCTGATCTAGCAAAATGGTGGTGTCATGGTCGCGGTTGCAGTCCCATGCAGTAAGCCTGCCATATCGTCCGTAGCACTGAAGAGTAGCCAGTCCAACAAAGAGCAAGGGCATGAGCTGCCACAGGGCATTTGAGAACCAGAGGCATGAAGGGGATGGAAAACAAGAACAGAATCAGTTTCATGGTGTTGAGAACATAGAGTACAGTGCCCAGTTGTCTCTGCACCTATGCACCTGTCTGCGAATGGTGCATTTCCAAGATCTTGCAAAGTACCGAATTCTGTCTGCTGAATGGGTCCAGTGCTGTCCACTTGAACTGAGAGTGTGTGCTCACAAACTAGCGACCAAGTACAAAACATTGGTTTTGTGATTCGTGGATGGCGATCTCCAGAATGGGGGGTCGGCTTCTCCATTGCGTCTCCTGAAGATCGACCAAAGCAACGTTTCGTCTTCAGGTTTACCTTCTTGTGGGATGTGATTAGCGTTGGCCGATTTTCAATTCCAACAATTGTTGTTCAAAAATCTGCGAGCACATTTTTGATTTCTTTCATTCTACCAATCTTTCCTACACAGGTATCTGCCAGATTAAATCCGACTTCGAAATTCCAACAACTGAAATCCTGCTGAACTCTTTCGTCCAAATTTTCTTTATAGATTGGCCAGTCAGGTGCGCGCCGATGTGCCACCGATGTCAAGAACGATACAGAGGAGTACAGTCCGATACCCACGTCGAATTCGAATCCAATTTGGAGTGCCAAACTGTGCCGTGACGTTTGGTTGTCAAGATGCAGCATCTGTGGATCGCAGAGGGAGGTCGTTTGAGAGGCAACTTTCACAGGAGATTGGCACAAGGAGTCATGCTTCTTTCTTTTCCATTTTTGTTTCTTCATATTTACATTTTTATTACTGTACACGAAGGACTGCGTCCAGTGGCGGTAATTGCAATACGCTCTGGCAATGGCGAGTTCTGGTGAAATCGGGAATGAAGCAAAATTGCATAGAATGTCTACATTATAGGCAGAAAAAAGGAACAAAAATATTGCTTCCTCGTTTCAGAGCTGCAAAAGCACTGCGGCTAAACTGCAGCCTGCGGAATATTATTGGAAGAGGCGCGTCTACGGCGTTGCAGTACCTGTACTGTTATGGTAACTGCACTGTACTGTACTGCAGCTGTTACCGCCATGACTGTGGTAACCCAATGTCCTGATGGTCGTTTTTCTCTGCTGCAGCGGTTTGGGTGCACACCCAGGTCAACGAAAGCGACGTGGGTCAGGCCAGGGCCATCGCAATAACGGTGAGCCTCTGCCAGGTTGCAGCATCTGCCTTAAGTACAGGCTGTAGTGCTGTCGGCGCAAGTACAGTGCAGCCTTCACAGCTGCTTCGCACATAAGCACTGCACCAGTTACTGTCATTCCCGATGCCTTACTGCACAAATGGTGCAGTTGTTGGTGATTCAGTGCTGGCAGCAGTGGAAAATCGCAAGTATTCTTTTGGGCATTGTAATGTTGTGCTTTGTTGCGGAGCTACTGCTCCAAACTGTATTGAATGTGCATCGCATAGTTGTATTGTGTTGTTGTTTGCTATGATTTTTTGTGACTGCAATAGCGTTGTAATAGCGAAATTTGTGAGGTCCGGTCGCTGTAGCCATTGAGAGGGAATATTTCCGTCACACTGTTCTGATGTTTTAGCGCTGTTTGTGCCGAAACAGGCTCCCTGCAGAAAAACAGACGCTCCCTGCATCTTAGAACGGCCGCGCACTCGCCCGGTCCGCCCAGCCATGGGCTCGAGTGCTTTTTCTTCGACAGTGTAATATTGTGCTTTTTCGCGAAGTCATTGCTCCAAGCTGTGTTGAATTTTCATCGCATAATTGTATTGTGGTAACGTTTTGCCTATATATATTATGTTATTATGTTATATGCTATTATGCTATGTTATCATGTGACTGCATTACTGTAATAATGGCAAAATCTGTAAGTACTGTTTCACACCGCTATCAAATTACAGTATTGCACAATGCATGGAGTTTCAACGGCAACCTTTGATGTGGGGTATATATGCTGATTGACTGCACACTACCAGTCAACATGATCAATTGTTTCATTGTAGAAGTGTTCGAATCTCGCAGGAAATTTCCCTCCTGAAGACGCCCAGAGCTGCTTCCTTCGTCGTGGCGTGGTCCGGCGCTGTTGTGACTAAGCCACGCCTATGACTAAACATGTAATAAGTGGAAACATACTCATGAGCAAATACTCAAATACTCATGCAAATACTCATGCAAAATGACGAATGCCGTTTATTCGATTGCTGATGGCCATGGTTTGCGTGACTAATACGCTACTGAATCAATTCCCGTGCTTTGCAGCGACTGGACAGGTACATCTTTGGCTACAATGATGGGGACCATTACATCCAAACGACGACGCCACTGGTCACGGAGATGAAGACAAATGCCACGTCCTACGTCGTTTCATTCTTCCTGCCCTTCGTGTACCAGGTGAGCAGCTTCTGCGCAAAGTAATGCCCAAAGTACTGAATGGGTGGAAGTATTGGAGCTCTGAGACGATGCAATTCCTCTCTGCTTACAATGTTGAAAGTGCAATTGCGTCCATTGTCTTCTCGATGCTATATATGTTGCGTTATTTTGCCGTACATGTTTTGAGTTTTTTGCTTTTTAGGCTTTCAAGGTCTTTGTCTTTAGTTTTCATCTTTATTTGGACCGGGCTTGTCGCCAGGGCCCACGAATACCCAACCTTGCACGTGACCACGCAGCGCTGATGCTATCCGATGACCCGAATGCAGCAGAGACACGTGCAATGGCGCGCGTCACTAGTGCGTCATTGTTTACGTGCATTTTTGGCTGCTTTTCGCGCATCGCGTCACTGCAACGCACGCGTTCCTTTTTATAAAGTGTTTGCCGCTTTGCGCGTACTGCGTCAGTGTAACTCACCGATTTTAGCGTGCTGTTTTGGTCGATTTCGCGTATCGTGTCACTGTAACACGCTGTTACTTTTTCTCAGCGTGCTTTTCTTCTGCCGATGTCACGCATCGCGTCACTGTGACGCACGCGTTCGTTTCTGGCGCCGCGTCCTTTTTCGTCGCTTTTCACGCAATGCGCTTCTGTAACGCGAGGTCTGGCTTTTAGCATGCTTCCTTCCTGCCATTTTTCGCGTTTCGCGTAACCGTAACGCGATCTTTCATTCGGCCCCCAGGACTCCCCGCCGGTGCCCTCCAGCCCCGACGTCTTCATTGAGGCCCGGCCCATCAGCACCTTCTACGTGTCTTCCTTCGGCGGCTTTGCGAAATCGCAGCTGGTCGCCGAAGAAGCCCAGAAGCTGCGCTCCGAGCTGCAGGCCATGGGCGCCGCCTACGATTCCGATGCGTATTTCGTGGCGGAATACGATTCGCCATTCAAGGCCGCCAACCGCCACAACGAGATCTGGTACAGGCAGGCGCCGCCTGCCGCGGAGGTTGTGGTATGAGAGTCAACGCAATGTCAACGCGAAGTCAACGCAAAGTCAACGCAAAGTCAACGTGGCCGACATGAAGTCAACGCGAAGTTGGGCGGAGCGAGGACGCTCATGGCCGGGCTGTGGCTGCCAGCGTACATAAAGAAAGGAAGCGGGTGCAGTGTTTCCATTATCTTCGTTGTTTCTGGTGCTCTCTTTAACTGTCGTGGAAGTGTCAAAGAGCAAAGGATTGAGGCCGATGGTGAAAAGGTATGAGTGTCTTTGCTAAGGAAATGAGGTGAAAAACGGAACAAAAGAGGGATGCAAGCGGGATTTCCTAGGGGGGGTGGATGTGGGCGAGGTTGAGTGGCGCCTTGGGCCTCTCGAACTTCGAATTTCGAGCACAGTTTGACATTGGGATTGTTTGAGCGCATCTCGGGATGGTGTCGGAACAGTGTCGGATACCTGTCGCATCAGTCGCCCACCCATCGATCCAGCGCTGATCGTCGGTGTTGGGTCAACGTCGGGCCATGGCGTGGACCGTGCTAGGGATGCGGACGGCGGTGCTTCATCATGTCGGGCTGTGGAAAACCACTTCTATAAACTACGTGGGGTCGAATTGTAGTACTGTAAGCTACTGCTCTGGGTTTGGCGGCCCTTGTGTCGCCATATTGGTTCCTTCAGCGGCGGCAGGCCCTAAGGTGTCATTGGCAGATGGTTTGTTTCCTGGGCGAGCGTGTAGAGGGAACGCATGGAGTTTGAGCGCTTTTTTATACCTTTCGCGTCCATAGAAACAACAACGCACTGATGCAGGGAGAGGGGCTCATTGGGGCAGGGGTTTGTGCCGCATTGTATGCAGATCGTGAGCACTTGTAAAGTTGCGAATGGTGGTGTTGGTGCATGTGCGTCGGAGCTGAAGTGGGCCCACGCTGCGTGGGCCGTGCACCATAGGTGGACTAACAGAAGTGAACAGCGTGGACTGATTCTCCAGTAGACACCAGTCTTGCTCTGTTGTTCTCTTTATAAAACAACGAAAGGCAAGTCCATCTTTTCCATCTCCGTCCTGAATAACGTCTATTGTGCAACGCATCGAATAGTGCGGATTTATTTATTTATTTACTTATTATTTATTTATTTGTTTATTTATTTATTTATTTATTTATTTATTTATTTATTTATTATTGACTTATCATGTTCACTTCACTTCACACTTATGTTCACACACTTCACCTTCGATGTAATAGAGATAATGTCTTCGTCATGAAACAGCGTAATGACAAACACTGTGCTGAGGATAGAATTGCATTGAATGGCTTAGTCGATGCAGCCTCATACATGGCCCGACGCAGCAAGGCGCCACGCACCCTCTGCCGAAAGCGGTGCCAATCAAGGGAAAGCATGTGCTGGTCCCTCTGTTTTTCCCGTGAAGATCTGTCTTCTTCCGCCGACAAGGCCAACGCCGGTCAGTGGGTCAGTGGTTTAGGGCTGAGAGTGTCCGGAACAAGAAGGAATGTACACGGAAAAGACAGAGCGACTACCTCGCTGCCATGAAGGGCAGCCAGGGATCGGTGTCTTGGGCCCGTGCATTGCGGTTAGTAACCCATTGGACTGCGAATAATATTGCTGCCGGCACCAAATCGCTGACTGCACTAAGTCACGAGCCCACCACGTCCTTACCTGAGTTTTGGGTTTAGGTCGCGTTTTAGGGAGAGTTTTAGGGTTGGTATTAGGGTTATAGGCTGGGTTTAGGTTAGTTGTCAGGATTAAGGGTTTAGCTTGAGTAAGTCTGGGAGGGATTTGGTGCAAGCAGTCACCGATTTAGTGCAGAAAGTCACGATTTGGTGCAAGCACTCACCGATTTAGTGCAGAAAGTTACGGTTTGGTGAGCCAGTAATTGCATGCCTTGGAGGCGCCCTGGCAAGGCCAACCAATTAACTAACAGCTTGCGGAACGAAGAGAATCAATCCCCAAAGTGCACTGCCACTGTGTGCACAACTGTGTGCTGGTTGGACGCCACAGATTCCAATCACGCTGCAGGGGCGCATGAGTCACACTCGCGCCCACCCCGCTGGGTCCACTTCCAACCCATAAACAGTACATAGGGCCATACATCAGCCACAGAGACCCGCATGCATAGCGCATGGTGACACAAGTCATCACAAAGGGGGCCTTATGCATAGTACACAGGGGCAGGGGTCAGCACACAGGAACCCACATACACAGTACATAGGGACCCAAATCAGCGCACGGGGACCCGCAGAGGGGGCAGGGGGGCGCAGAAGATCGCCAGCACCTTCAAAGGTCGTCAGACACTTTGCCCAAGCGCGCCTCGCCGCACGCGCCCCACGTCGCGGCGCTGACCTCGTCGTTGACCTGTTGACCTTGCTGACCTTTGCGTTGGTCTTTGACCCTCCCGCGCCCGTCATGGCTCCAATCCGCCCATGCCTGCTCGGTGAGTAGCTCCCCGCGGACGGCAAAGCGGCCCACGGCCCCGCCCACACATCGCGCACTTCTCGCGATAGAAATTCATATACCCTTGCGATGGTCAACGCCAGCCACGCATGCATTTGGAAAGTAGCGCCGCGCCCATGCCGGGGGAATGTTGGCCAAGGCGGTGGGAACGCTTAGTGGACGCGGATGCAATGGAATGGCGCTGGTGAGCGTGACCCGCAAAGTCAGACAAAAACGAACTCAATGTTTGCGCCCCACCCCGGGATGATGAGTGAACGGGGGATCGGTATGCATCGTTTTCGTCGCCGGAATGCTGCGGGTTGCCCCGTAGCGCCGGCCAGCCTCATGGCGGAAGTTTTTGTGACCTGCCGCGCTGATGTCGACGCCCCTTCGTAGTGGGCGGCGCAAACCCTAACGGCAGCGTCTGAGCCGGTTGGGGCGCTCCGAGGTGACAAGTTAGAACAAAAACACGGATAATGGAGGAGTGCATGCTCGGCGTTGTTGTTGTTGTTAAAGCGTCGGGGGCTCCGGTTGGAACTCTCTCGTTCAGAAGTTTGGAGGGTATTTTGGAGACGTCGCGTCCCGCGCCCTCTGCACAGGTCGAAAAGCCAGGCAGTAACCTGACACGGTATATGTGCACGTCCCTCATTGCCGATTTGGTCAACGTTGGGTCAAAAGGCCAACGTTCCAAGCCCCCGCTTCCCAACCCATCGAGACACGCTCGCCCCCCGGCCCCCCGGCTGCCGGAACCACCGCACGCGGACCAGTCGGCGCTCAGTGGCGGGAAAGCTGTCCGGGGGGAAAGGAATGTACTGCCCCGAACCCCAGTACATTGGCGAACCCCTCCTGCTTCGCCCCTTCCGCGCCTCCCTGGCCCTCCAGCCGCAGGTCCCTGCCTGTGCGACGAAGCCCTTCGATCGGATCGCCGCGGCCGCGGCTGTTCATTTCGGCATGTCGCCTCAACTGCCGACCGCTTCATCTTTATTTCGGCGGTTGGCTTTGGAGGCCACGCCGCCAAGGCATGGAATTTGATGCAGCGAAATTTGGATGCACTGCTGGTCAGGCAGCCAAGGCGTCGTTCTCGGGAGGCGGCTGGGGAGAGGGGGGCGGGATTGGCAAATGGCGGGTTGCTGCTGACCCGTGGAGGGGTGCCGGGGGATTGGGGGTTGGGGGGGGGGAGGGGGGGAGGGAACGGTGTCATCACGGAAAGGGAGGGGACTGTGGCCCCGCGTGTGCGGCAATTTGTGGTTGAGCCAATTGCCCGGTCGTTGAGCCGAGTCCTCCAGTACCCTTTTTGTTGGCTTTGAGTGATCCTAGGGCAGCTCCCCTCCCTAAATCCCAGATAGGGCACTATCGTAAAACGTAAAACCCCAAAACAAAAGTGCCACTCCTGGAAACAGCACTGCTTCTGGAGGCACAAGTCCGGCAAGTGCAAATTCAAGAGGTAAAGGGATTGTGGTTTCAGCAAAAGGACTTGGCCAGGAATTCATTGTGCCGATATGTTTTCAGAAGATTCAAAGCCGAAAGATGGTGTGTGCTGTCTTGTAGGGCTGCTTTTGGTGCTGGCTTCCGCTGGAGGTGTGGGCTCTTCTCCGTTGGTTGGAGGGATAGAAGGGCAGTGGGATTTTTCCATCTATTACCCAGGTGATGCAAATTACTGCACTATTTCAGCCAATTCAATAGTGACTGCGAGAGTGACGATATTGCTTCCCAGTGATGTCCGCCGGAGCACGTGAAATGCCATCTAGTTCCACCTAAATATGCTTTTACCTATCATACGGACAAGTGACCATTATGATCGGCTCTACAGTTCCAATTCAGTGCGAAGAACATGAAGGCGGAAGCTATGGCACGGAACACCCAAGTAAAACTCGGCCAAAATACACGATTTCGAACCGTGTAAAATTCGTGTAAACCGCTTCAAAGTCTGTAAAAATCATGTGCACTCACTCAATCATTACTACGTGGCTTGTTCCCTTTTTATATGATAAATTCATGATTTGACACGATTTTCAGTCATGCTAAACGGTACATGTTTTATCAAAGCTGTGTATTTTGGCCTGTTTTTACTAGTGACATGACACCAGGCCATGAGATTCAGACATGTGGATCCAAGGCGTCGTTGCTTGTGACCAGAGTCATCGGGAATTGATGAATGATTGCGATTTGTTGTCTTTGGACACATTAACGTACATTACTTTCCATCCCCGTCCTTTTTTCATATATTCTGTCCTTATTTAAACACTTCATTATTTCCATAAATTTTCAATGCTTCAACATTTCATTACAGTTAAATATCTGACTTCCGTGTGTGCATTTATATTCATATTTAAATACACATAAACTTGCATCTATGTGCGCGTTCGCATAAAATCTTGTGTACAGTCGATTCATGTGTACTGTGCGTCAATACCTAATCCATGTGGGCCCGCTTACATGCGCAGGCACCGATACTAGCGGTCCCCCAGATGAATTCGTCGTCGGCACACTCACCAACGTGGTCGGCAACGTGTACAGCGGCACATTCGTCGGAAAGGACGTCACCAACATGGGCATAACCTCCGGCTTTTTTTCGCCCGACA